TCTTTGTGGGTCTAATTTGGTAACTGTCCCTGAAAGTAGATGGTGACTCCTTGCTTTCCAGTCCAGGATGGGACGGTCACAGCGCATGAGGACAGAACTCACTGGTTGATTCCTAAGATTATTATTGGATTAAACATATTAAATACTCTGTTATAATTCTATATCCAAGATCATTTTTCCCCACCATGCTGCAAAATCCATAAGTACACTTGCTATTTAAGTATTTTTGTTGTTTGAAAGAAAAAAAAAGATTTTTAAAATGTTCAACCTCCCTTATAATGTAAGAAATACAAATTAAAACAATAACGTAAAACCAATTTTCACCAACCAAATTAGCCAAGATTATTTTTCTTATAATAAAAGAAATTTCTAAATTTCTTACTGCTGGTAAAGTTATGATGAAACAGTCTAAAGTAATGAATTGGCTCCTGGAAATATAAATTGATACAAACTTTCTGGAAGCAAATTTGTAATAGCTATTAGGAATTGTACTTTATTTCATGCCCGGCCTGGTGAAAAGTATATGTGCAGTCTGGAGTCAGTTTGGAGATGACGTGTGTGAACAAATAACCTCTCAGAGCCTCATTTTCCTCCTCTGTAAAATAGGGATAATAATTAGTACAGTGCCTGATGTATATTCAGAATTCAATAAATGTAAAGTATAATAAGAAAAATATTATTCTCCCTTAAGATTATTCTTTAGGAAATAATCTAGAGTTGAAACAAAGATTTACGCACAAAGATTTTATCAAATTGTAAGAAAAAAGGCAAATTTTGTTAGTTCACTCCATGCTGGAATACTATAAAACTATTCAAAGCGATGTTTAGAAAGAGTCCCTAGTGACGTGGAAATGCTGATGGTATTGAGTAAAGAAGTATCACACACCCACATTTAATATAATCTCTTTTATGTAAAAATCTCTATATGCAAAAATCGTATACAAAAGTAAAAGAAAAATGTCAATGGTAGTTTAGATTCTGAAAGACATTTATAACTTCATAAAAATACTTCGTAAATTTTCTCCCATGCCTTACGTTGTAGTCAGAAAAGTAAAACCCCCAGATCCCTGTCTGAACCTGCTCAGGCTCTGCTCTGTAGGTCAGGGGAGCCCTGGGCTTGTGCCTGGAGCCTGTTCGCTGGGGTGCCTGGCGGGACGGGCTTCGTGTAGCCTGTTTTGCCCGAGTTCCATTGCCGGCCCTCAGGAGCTGTATGTTCCTAGCTGTAAGTCAGAACACTGGTATTAATCCTCAAGCCCATGTTACTCTGACTTCTGGCTCTTTCTCTGGCTCATTACTCATTTTGAGGTCTCCCAAGGAACTCTCTCCTACAAAGTGATTTTGACTTTGAGCCTCTGAAGATAAAAATGTTTCCTAGGCTTTAGGAATTTATTATTCTTTTTAGCATGGTTTAATAAAAATCAGTCAACCAACCTTCAGGGCATATTTATTTAAATGGTCTTTTGTTGGGGGCTTGTATATAACCGAGTTGGGAAGGGAGGTTTGCATGAGTGAGTGAACATGGGACCCACTCATATTGTTGCCTTGGAGTAAATCTGTTCATAATTGGGTGTTCAGCATGACCTTTTAAAGCATAGAATGAATACAGGTAGTGAACAAAAAGAGAGTCCAACTTTGCAAACTCCAGTAGTTTAGTCTCCTGTGTAAGGTAGAGCTGTGAACCAGCTTGGATTGATGTGATGCTTTGGGTACTCTGGTATTGATCGTTTTATGTTTTTCATGTCATGAATTGATTTCCCCATCACCTCTGCACACTCATTCCATTATAGAACTGGATATGTCTGGGATTGATCCAAACCCTTTGATGGCTTAACATGGATCCATGGAAGGAAGCAGAGGCCCTGAGTTGTTCCAGAGTCTCTGCAACTCTTGAGCCTTTACAATTGGCTTCTGCCATTCATACGCCTGAATCTGATCCAGACTGCTAGGTCTGGTATAAGACCTCAGAGCCTTGAGTAGGGGGATAGAAGAACTTGAGAGCTGTGAAGAATCCCTCCATTTATCTGTCAGAGGCAGAGAGAGAGAGAACTCAACCCAGAGGAGCACCAGGATAAATCCTGCTGAGAGGGGAGAGAGAGGGTTTCAAGGGGGGCAGTCTGGGTAACAGTGCCTTGTGTCACAAAGATTTCACGGCGGATACAGAAGTAGAGGTGGTCAGCAGATGTGATCATGAGAGGTCATCAGAGACCTCTCCAACAGCAGCGTCCGTGGTGAATTGCATTGAATGCAGATTACAAGGTGAGGTAACAGCAGGCAAGGAAGTTGCATGGTGAAGGGAAGGTAAAAGATGGGGTGTTCATGGCCAAAAACTGTGGGGGGGGG